CACACACAGCATGGCATAGACAGACACACACACAGCATGACATAGACAGACACACACACCATCACAGACAGACACACACACAGCATGACACAGACATACACACACACACCATGACAGACACACACACACCATGTCACAGACAGACACACACAGCTTGACAGACAAACACACACAGCATGATACAGACAGACACACACACAAACACCATGACAGACAGACACACAAACACCATGACAGACAGACACACACACACCATGACAGACAGACACACACACACACAGCGCGCCGAGCACAGACAGACACACACACACCGCGACATACAGACGCAAAGCATGACACAGACACACACACACACACCATGACAGACACACACACAGCATGACACACACACACACAGCATGACACAGACACACACACACGACAGACAGACACACACACAGCATGACACAGACACACACAGCATGACACAGACACATACACAGCATGACACAGACACACATACCATGACAAACAGACACACCATGACTGACAGACAGACAGACACACACACACACACACACAGCATGACACAGACAGACACACACACACACACCGCTTGACGAACAGACACACACCCAGCGGCACACGAACACACACAACGCGAGCACAGACAGACAGCACACACAGCATGACACAGACAGACACACACACCATGACAGACAGACACACACACACAGCATGACACAGACAGACACACACCATGACAGACAGACATACACACAGCATGACACAGACAGACACACACACCATGACAGACAGACACACACACAGAATGACACATACACACACACACCATGACAGACACACACACCATGTCACAGACAGACAAACACAGCTTGACAGACAAACACACACAGCATGATACAGACAGACACACACACACACCATGACAGACAGACACACACACACCGCGGCGGGCGGTACACACACAGCGCGACATACAGACACACACACACACAGCATGACACAGAAGACAGACACACACACACACCGCGGCAGACATGAACTACACACACACACACAGCGCGAGCAGCCACCAGACACACACACACACAGCGCGGCACAGACAGACGCACACACACACCATGACATGCAGGAACACACGCACAGCATATTTAGACACACACACACACCATGACAGACACACACACAGCATGACACAGACACACACACAACATGACACAGACACACACACCATGACAAACAGACACACTCACAGCATGACACAGACAGACACACATCATGACTGACAGACAGACAAACACACACACAGCATGACACAGACAGACACACACACACCATGACAGACAGACACACACACCATGAGAGACAGACACGCACACAGCATGACACAGACAGACACACACACACCATGACAGACACACACACACACAGCATGACATAGACAGACACACACCATGACAGACAGACACACACAAACCATGACACAGGCACACACACACACCATGACAGACAGACACACTCCCACTGACAGACTGACATACATACTTTTTGCTACCTGTGGGTGGGTAGACTAGACAGACAGGTGTGCTGGCGGCTGCAGGGAGAGCTTGGATGGCGGCCGCAGGGGGAGCTCTTTTGGCGGCCGCGGGGGAAGCTGTGTGTTCTGTCTCTGCTCCCCAGTGAGCAGCTTAATGAGACTGGGGCCGGAATATGACGTCATATTCCGCACCCGGTCTCATTAAGCTGGGGAGCAGAGACATAACACACAGCTTCCCCTGTGGCCGCCAGAAGAGCTCCCCCTGCGGCCGCCATCCAAGCTCTCCCAGCGGCCGCCAGAAGAGTTCCCCCTGCGGCCGCAGGTCACCCACATGTCTCCCTGGCCCCAGGTGCCTACGGCCCACCAGGAAATTTCCCGGTATCCCGGTGGGCCAATCCAGCCCTGCTCCCAATCCACTTAAACTAATGTGTGTACAGAACACAAACTACATCCCCATGGCAACACGTGGCCAGGATGTCTTTGATGTTCACAATGATTGCCTCCAAACATTTGAATGTGTGTACTTCCTCACTGCTCTTCAATGCTTCCCATAGAGAGGTATTAAATGACTTGCTTCCCTTTTGTTCTGGGGATTGACAATTGGGAGGGACGACATGGTCAGTTTATAAATTTTTCTTGAAATCTTCATTTTCATAGAGTTACAATGAGTGGAGACTCTGTTATTCCCTACAGCACTTCAGAAAGCTGAAGTGGTCTAGGGCAGTGGTTCCCAAACCAATCCTCATGGCCCACTAACAATCAAGGATTTATGCATTTCCCCTCTTTATTGCATTGGAGACACAAACAAAACCTGGATTGTTGATGGACCACGAGGACTTTCTCGGAAACCACTGCTGTAGTGGTTTGGATTATTCCTATAGGTTATATTTTATATTTTCTAGTCTAATACTTTTATTTTTTTCTGCAATCCTTAATACATTTTCATTAAATTTAACAGTGGATTTTGTCACAAACTAAAATTGGTTATTCGATTTAAAATGTTACTTGATAGAAAATATGCTCTTCTTAACATATACCTATTTAATGAGAATAGCTGGCAAGAAAAAATACTTTTTTTCTAACAACTATAAAAATATTTTTTTTCTTTTATAACATTGAATACTTATAATTATTTTCTTCTCTCTCCTTCAAGGTTATTTTTACATTTTATATGATTTTACCATTGGAGAGAGG